AATAGCAGATGGATCTGAAGTGGTAGTATCAATAGGAGCAGTAAAAGTGGTAGCCTCTCTGACTCTGGTCTCCCTCGACATTGTGGCATTCTTCTTGCTCTGGCAGCCAATGAGTCCCGTCTTAGTAGGCCACAATACATCCTTCGATGTCTGCTTCACCCTAGCCTTCACACTCATCTCAGTGACCATGTAAGCGAAAGGCATATTCGCCTTCGGCTTTACAGTGACAGTAAACTCTTGCATAACCCACCATATCATCAATGCTATGTCAATGCAAGAGCCTGCCATGAACATAAACCAAGGCTAGCTTATCCACATCTAGCACCTTCTCTAATCCTTTTGGGTACACATTATAGTGTAAAATCTTATTGGCCAGGTGTTACTCCCCACTTAGACTTCCCACTACTACCTTCCTTGTGCATGTCTTGCTCTCTCCATACATCAAAGTTGCATACTGCTCTAAGATCTTGGGTTGGAGGGGTGAGGANAAAACTTCTATGACTTTTCCTGCCGGTAGCACATCCGTTACCTACCATTAGGACTTCCTTTGACAAAATACTGTAAGTTTTCTATTGGTAGAACATGTTATAACTATCGGTAGAACTTCTCTAATGAAAAAAATGTAAACTTTTGTAAGTTTTGCTACTGGTAGAACCTTCATTCTTCTGCCTTCCTACTGGTATAACACCTACCAGTAGAACTTCTCTTTTCTTCTAAAATAACTTCCAAGGCTCCCGGCTTCACGTCTCCCCAGCAACCTCAATCCCAACTTGTCCCTTACCATCTCATTAATGCTTAATCTTAACCTTTACACCCAAATTACCTGCAATCACAGAAATCAAAACATAAGACGCAATATGTACTAAGTGAAGCAATTTAGTTTGTTAGCAAACCTAAAGCAAATGTTTTAAGCTATAAAATAATGCAATATCGAGTACTTAACAGCCCCCCCTCCCCAATTTTGGTTTTGTCAGTCCTTAGCAAACATCAAACTAAGAAACTAATAAAAATAAACTTTTGAACATTCAAGGCAAGAAGAACATAACCAAATAATCAAATCACAAAGCATAAATCAAAAGAACACAAGGCACAAAATGTAAAAGATGTGTTCCATTGATTTTAATCATTGGCTTTGAGTACATACTGACTCCAAAAAGAAACTGCAGCCTAGTCCTAGAGGTTCTTCTACCTAGGCTATACAAAATTCCTAACACTTAAACCCTAAAAATGAAAACAAAAGCTATCAAGCAACAACATCATCACTCTCATTAGTTGCATCCTCCTCAACATCTCCATCACCACTTTCCTCTCCAATTCCACTGTCCTTTCCACCAGCCTCACTGTGACAGTCCTCCACATCAAGCACGACATCCTCCCTAGCAAAAGATGTCTGGGGTCCCAAAGATGGCACTGATGGAATGGACTCACTAAGAAAAGTGTGCTCTAACAGTCTCTACATACCAATCATAAGCCAGTCCATCTTTCCCTTGCATCTCTCCACCGCTTGCCTTATCTCCAAGGCTTATCTTTCTACACCATCCATCCTCAGCTTTATCCTAATCACCCTTTGAGTTAGTGTCCCTCCAGAGGTGGATGGTGTTGGTACACTAGTATGGGTAGTAGAAGTAATAGCAGATGGATCTGAAGTGGTAGTATCAATAGGAGCAGTAAAAGTGGTAGCCTCTCTGACTCTGGTCTCCCTCGACATTGTGGCATTCTTCTTGCTCTGGCAGCCAATGAGTCCCGTCTTAGTAGGCCACAATACATCCTTCGATGTCTGCTTCACCCTAGCCTTCACACTCATCTCAGTGACCATGTAAGCGAAAGGCATATTCGCCTTCGGCTTTACAGTGACAGTAAACTCTTGCATAACCCACCATATCATCAATGCTATGTCAATGCAAGAGCCTGCCATGAACATAAACCAAGGCTAGCTTATCCACATCTAGCACCTTCTCTAATCCTTTTGGGTACACATTATAGTGTAAAATCTTATTGGCCAGGTGTTACTCCCCACTTAGACTTCCCACTACTACCTTCCTTGTGCATGTCTTGCTCTCTCCATACATCAAAGTTGCATACTGCTCTAAGATCTTGGGTTGGAGGGGTGAGGAAAATCAATCTTTTCCGGTTGAGGTTGAGGTTGATCATAGTTCAGCATCTTAACCACAATTGCGAGCGTTATATCAATGACCTCCCCCGCATTGTGGTCCTGAGTAGTTGTAAATCACTATCAATAATATTGAGTCCCTTATACAACTCCCGATACAATGCCAAACCAAAACCCTTTACCTCCTAAAACCATACCTTCAAACCTTGCGCAATGATTTCCTGGACAACACCAGAGAAAACTAGCTCATGTCTATCTACTTGTCTCTTGCAAGTCACATTATTGACATATATAGAGTTCGAATGGTCGATAACAATGCAGAAACCTCATAAATTTCCACATGTTGCAACAAGATAATGTTGCCACAAGATATACTCGTTCCATTGATTTAAGAAAAAATTATGTTTGAAAATGGGTTTTATGTTATGTTTCACATATTTAGGATATGGTTATGTTATATATATATATGTAACTTGATGTTGATAGGACTTAAATAAAAAAATTAAAGAAAAATAAAGAAAAGGAGAGAAAAGTGATTGCTTAAAGGGGATCTAACCTCCAAAAGCCCCTAAAGGGGTAGTATTATTTCTTCTATACCAAGCTATAAGGCATCTATACGCTCCTATTGTTGGAAATCCAAAAGAGAAAAAACTAAACAAAAAAAAAAAATCAAAGACCTAAAATAAGGCTTAAGAAAGTCCATGATTTTGGAGTTAAACCCGTACAATAATTGAGTATAACAAAATAGGAAACTAAAGATAATTGCATCACATGTTTTATGTTATGTTGCAAAAACTCAGTTTACCCTATCAAAATCTTCACCTGATGTGCAGCATTTGGAAATTCTTAATGGAGAAACTAAAGCACAGTCAAAAAAATCAAAAAAATGATTAATTTCATCGGAAGTTTCCAAAGTATAGAGTTTATTTCATTTTAGTTTTCAATATTTTAATTACATTATTTTGATTCCTAAAGTATTGAATATGTTTCTATGTGATCTCTTAAGCAAACATCATCCAGATTGTTAATAATTTTTTGTTATAAACTTGTCACATAATACCTAAATATGAATACAAAAATAATTTAAATAATTCTAGACTAAATTTTGATCAAAAAATTACCTAAATTACATNACTAAAGATAATTGCATCACATGTTTTATGTTATGTTGCAAAAACTCAGTTTACCCTTTCAAAATCTTCACCTGATGTGCAGCATTTGGAAATTCTTAATGGAGAAACTAAAGCAGTCAAAAAAATCAAAAAAATGATTAATTTCATCGGAAGTTTTCAAAGTATAGAGTTTATTTCATTTTAGTTTTCAATATTTCAATTACATTATTTTAATTCCTAAAGTATTGAATATGTTTCTATGTGATCTCTTAAGCAAACATCATCCAGATTGTTAATAATTTTTTGTTATAAATTTGTCACATAATACCTAAATATGAATAAAAAAATAATTTAAATAATTCTAGACTAAATTTTTACCTAAATTTTGATCAAAAACTTACCTAAATTACACNCTGGGGTCCCAAAGATGGCACTGATGGAATGGACTCACTAAGAAAAGTGTGCTCTAATAGTCTCTACATACCAGTCATAAGCCAGTCCATCTTTCCCTTGCATCTCTCCACCGCTTGCCTTATCTCCAAGGCTTATCTTTCTGCACCATCCATCCTCAGCTTTATCCTAATCACCCTTTGAGTTAGTGTCCCTCCAGAGGTGGATGGTGTTGGTACACTAGTATGGGTAGTAGAAGTAATAGCAGATGGATCTGAAGTGGTAGTATCAATAGGAGCAGTAAAAGTGGTAGCCTCTCTGACTCTGGTCTCCCTCGACATTGTGGCATTCTTCTTGCTCTGGCAGCCAATGAGTCCCGTNAGTTTTAATTATGAGTTATCCAAATTTTGGTCCAAACCTACTCATATTATACATTTTTTGTCCAGGGCTACCAAATTTTGGTTAAGAGATAACCAAATTATTTTTTACTCATATTTAAATATCTCGTGACAAATTTTTGATAAAGAACCGTTAATAATTTAGATGTTTTCTACTTAAGGGACTACATAAAACATAGTCAATACTTTAGAGACTAAAATGATATAATTAAAATATTAAAAACTAAAATGAAACAAAACTCATATTTTAANACTCATATTTAAATATCTCGTGACAAATTTTTGATAAAGAACCGTTAATAATTTAGACGTTTTCTACTTAAGGGACTACATAAAACATATTCAATACTTTAGAGACTAAAATGATATAATTAAAATATTAAAAACTAAAATGAAACAAAAATCATATTTTAGGAACCTCCAGTATAATTAATCTCAAAAAAAAATAAAGATACCTTGAACCCAAACAATGTGCAGCCTTATTATGAACTTAAACAAACTAAAATTAGTTTGAGACAAAATCCGACCCATGCCAAATTCATAAGTTGGTTCAATAATTGAACAAGAACAAAACCTAAAAATCGATCACAGATCCAATCTGAGTACCTTTACAAGATAGACCCCAATAAAAAACTAAAGAGTAACTGCAGCAAGTGATTAAGTGACCATGTCCTCAGTTTATGTCCTTGGCTCCCATAAAATCAAATTTTACCAATAAATATCCGTACATCTAAGATTGGCGTTGTAATTATTTCAATAGAGACTCTAGTAACTAAAACAAGTCTCGATGCCATCAAAAAAAAAAATGTGGGCCTACACTCTCTCTGTGTTTGTGTGTGCATGCATTGCAAGATGTGTGAGTATTCTGAATATAAACAGACCGTGGTCTGCTTCAATTGCAAATAAACAAACTGATATTAATGAAGTTCTTTTCCAATAAACTGATTTTTTCCACAATAGTGATGTCAAAAAAACAAGTACGCTCATTTGTCATGGTCTCTTCACTTCATCTTCCCGTTGTTGATGAGTTACAGAGATCCCATTCTGTGTTTGAGAGTCACCCAGAAACTCTGATCGCAACTGCATTAGTAGCCTACCAAGATAATTTAGGCCTTCTCCGTCTCGGCCTCCTCCCCAAAAGAGATCATGGGGTGAAGCTTCTACAAGGACACACCCCGTGGTCGAGAGAAGCATAGAATTTAAGTGAGGATATATCGAGAATTTGCATTTCAACGCCCGGTACATAACATCAGTCTTGATAGATTCCCAATCAGGTGTTACCTGCAGGGTAGACATGAAGAAAGTGCTTCAGGTTGTCAAGAAAATGTAAACAATGAATTCTGCATCAATGGACACACCAAGGCTCTATTCATCACCCAGGCAAACATTTATAATTGGACAAATAAGTAAAGTTCTCTTCCATTGGGAGAAATGGAAAGTCATCAAAAAATATAATTTATGTTGCTGCTAAGAGAGCAGGAGTTAAATCCTATAAGCAGCATTCATGAATCAGTTTTCCCTGTTAGTAAGCACATCCTTAGATACATTACCAGGCATAAAATGAAAAAGAAAAACTCTTGTACAATGAACCTAACCCCAAAGCAAAGGAAAAGCATTTGTTCCCTTCACTCTTGCAGAACAAAATGGCAGACACTTCGGTGTGATTCCTAGTTAAAACACCTCTTTCCGTACAATATGATTGCACGTCTAGGAAGTAAAACAAAATAACGAAAATAAGTATAAACAATAATTACTAAGGATCAGCTTGTTCGATATAGCAACTAATATTTCTCCCTGAAATGACTTTTTAAGACCAAATAATGGTGGAAAGAAAGTAAAATCACTAGGAAGGTCTCTCTCTATTAGTTTGCTATCAACCTAAGACTTTCATGTTTTAATGTTTAAAATACCGTAAGCAAGATTGTCAAGTCAGATACCAATCTGCGTCCCACTTTTTCGCATGAAGAATCCATACCAGATCAGGGCGCTGCCTCTGCATTTTCCTTCCAATTCGTGATGCTTCCTCGGGACTTTTTGAAGATTTTATGTCTTCAACACAATTTATTGCTACAGCATCATTCACCCCAACAAACTTGTGTGCCTGCACTTCGTATGATATCTTAACAGAAGTTCTATGAAACATGCAGCAAGCATATACAATGTATGCAGAGATATATGACCTGATAATAGTGCTCCACACTTAACCACGTGAAGTAATCACCATTTTCATCAAGCATTTGAATTGGATGAGGAGAGAAGTTTGAAAAAGCTCCATAAGGATCCCATGTTTTATAAAAGAATATGATGCTTGATTCATATGGACAAATGGTTGGGTCAATTGCAGAAGTTTCATCTACTGATGGAATAACAGGTGTCAGGTCCGGAACAGGCTGAAGAAATCCACTGATAAGCATATCAGGTCCAATCTGCAGGTCATGGGTAAGAAGTAAGCAAAAATACAACACAATGGAGGAGATAATTGGAAGCTTAGTAATGCTTCCATAAGAATGACCTTGAATCAAAAAGTCTAAATCTTAGTCTGGGAAATTTATGATCTCCATGCCATCAGAAGCACATAACTGCATTCGAAGACATAGAACAAACAAGTGAGGACAGAGGTTTGTCAGATTATGATCGAATGGCTGACAAATTGTTAATATTCATCTCCGGATCATTTTGACACTTATTCTCCATTTACGTTGATGAAGAAGAAACAACTAAAGAGGTTTCCTCTCCTTAACCATGAGCAAATTGCTCCACAAAAATAAAACAGAAGGAAAATAATAAAAAAAAGGGTACATCTTAATTTTTCTCATATATGTTGACGAAAAAGATAGCAAAGTGTGACTGTTGCCCATCAAATTCTAAGTTTTGCATATCGGTACAGATATACATCAACGATTACACGCCGGGAAAAACATAAAACCCTCAACGCCAGCCACAAGGGAATATATGATGCACAAAAAGAATTTTTCTTCTCCCAACAAGAGACATTGCAGCACTGTGATCAGGAGAAAATCAAACTGGCAAAAGAAGACATCTGGTTGTCATATTAAAAGGGATGCCTCCACCGTTCTCTTGCAATAGAGTGTTACCAATTTCTCCCTTTAAATTACTCCTGCAGAGACATTCTTCCTTCTCAATGGATTGATGTAATTATCATTTAAGTAATGACCTCTAGACTTAGAACAAAGTTTCTTCTACTTAAAATGTCAAAACATTTATCTTTGTTCTGAACTACAGAAAGAATCCTGTAATGAGATTTAAAAATTGTGAAAGTCCATATTACTACTAGCAGCTGACAAATAACAGCTCTTCTGTAAGCCCTCTCAGAGATTCATGTTGCTCCTTTTATCAGGTCCACAAAGAGGAGGATCAAATCTGATTAATTCAAGCGACTGCAACAGAACCACATTTTAATCTAATCCTCACAAGTACCAACAAAAAGAGTGGTAAAAAAAGTGATTAAGGTAGATTATTACCCATTCAATGAATTGAGATCAAAAGCCATACCAAGCAAAACTTTACCTAATTCAATCAACATCTTACCATACAACATTAATGTTACTGAAGACGACGCAGTTAAAGCACAAGAGGACAGGATTTTTCTTTCACACCATAGTCGAAACTAAACTTTCTCATAGGGTAACAAAAGAAAACTGCAAGTTGGATGCTGATTCAACCAAACATAGGTTCTCAAAGGAAAATGAAGGCCAAATGGCAAGTCTCATTGCTCAATCAAAATCACTCACAAAGCTGCTTCCACTTATATATAAAGAAGACAATCAAACATAATATAATTAATTTTAATCATAACAGTTAAATTACAAAGTAATTAAGGTTAGAGAAGAGAAGAGAAGACTTTAGGAGAATAAAGTATATTAAGAGAAGAGAGTAGTGTGTTAGGTTACATAGCTACACCCAACTTTTATATATCCTAAGTCTAGAAATAACAAATAACATAACACTTCCCTCAAGTTGGTGCATAAATATACCTTATGCCCAACTTGTAAACAATGAGATGAAAAACTTTTTTCAACATGTTTGGTCTTGTCATGTTGAACTGGATTATGAACAATGTTAATAGTAGCCTTGTTGTCACAATATAGTCTCATAGGTCTATCATCATGAATTCTCAGCTCTCCCAATAGTGTTTGGAACCACATAAACTAACAAACTCCGTGGGACATTGATCTGTATTCAACTTTTGCACTAGATCTAACCACTACTGACTGCTTCTTGCTTCACCATATGACAAAATTTCCTCCAATCAAGGTGCACTAACCTGAAGTAAATCTTCTATCATCCATTGAGCCCACCCAGTCTGTATCACTAAATGCTTTCAACTTTCAACGGTCATTATTAGAGAATAAATCCCTTCTCCCAGAGCTGACTTGATATACGTCAATATGCAATACACGGCTTCAAGATGACAGTTCCAAGTGTTAGTAGTATGCTTAAAGATCAATCACACAAATGGTATTAGGGTTGTACTAGCAACGTTCATTTATTGATTAAATATAAGGGCAAATTTATTTATCATGTTACTATTTTATTTCATTTTAACATAGAATATAAGTTAAAAAGATAATTTCTGAAGGTGTCGAGAAGTGACCTATACTTCTTAGTACTTGACTCTTGAAGGTTTCTAGTCATAGAATTAATATGTGGACACTATGTAATCTGGATAAACTAGCATATACTATGCTTAATCATATTTGATATGAAATGGCTTGTCCAAGTCACTAGGGACATTGAAATAGGTGTGTGGGTTCTTGTTAGAGAATAAGTATACTGAACGTGACCATTAACTAACATAGGATTTTTTATATAAAGTTTTACAAACCCATTTTAATGTTATTCAATTGATTCTTAGACCTGAGACACCATAGTTGTCTTGTACATGAACTTCTATATTTTACCTGTACACAACATATCCATATACTAACTATACAACTTGAATATGCATTATTGGACATAGTTAGACACGCATGGAGATTTATGAGCGTAAAACATGGAATCTATCACCCTTAATAAAAAAAAAAAGAGAATATCCTATGTGATTTTCTAGGATATGACTCAAACAGTCCTTGTCCAAGGCTAGATAACAATTAGAAAAAAGTTTTTAATTGATTATTAGGAGTTATAGTTCTAAGATCGAACACAAAAGATTGAGTTAGGGGTTTGACAATAATTCTATATCCTAATAATTCAATTGGAGCATTATCTGATAGAATGATTGAATTACATGATAATTGTAGACTGAATGGGTTCTTTACCTACTTCGTGCTACTTGAAGATTGATCATGATATAATGTCAGGTGTCACTTATGATTAGTACAAGTCCAAAGAATAAAATTAATATAAATATGTAGTTTTTCATAAAAGGAGAATTAGAAGAGTTCTAATTCAAACTAAATTAAAAAGAATTCTAACTTGAAAAGCTACTTGAAGTTAATATTGAATGCCTACAACTACGTATGCTTAAACTTATACGGTCACACACAATAAAATTGATAGAAAACTAAAGGATAAAAGAGATAAAATCAATTAAGAGTTAATTGTTGTGAAAACTTAATTAAGAGTTAATTGTTGTGAAAACTTAATTAAGAGCTAATAAAGGACTTTATTACAATTAATAAGTATTAAAGAAGTCATTATTGGATACTTGCAACTAATCCAAACTAGGATTGGAGTCTTCTAAGGCTCTATAAAATCCCTCCTAAAGGAGGTGGGTCGTGAGAATAACACTCAAATGCTAGCACAAGAAAATCCACTCCATCTCTCTCTATACTATTTGATCAATGGTTGTGGTAAATTTTTCAAGTTAGTCAATTTATGTGGATACCGATAGAGGCCAATAGAGGCCAAACAATTGCGAGGCTAAGGGTAAAGATCAAATTCAAATTTGAAGATTCAAGACTTTTGATAAAGGTTGAAGATTGTAAAAACATACTTCAAGAAGTAACTCTTAATCTTCTATGTAGATATATCGATTTGTATTAAACATGAATTGATCTTACGATAAGGATTAAAATTATTTTTAATTCCACTACATTTCTTTACATGATTTCTTTCACAAGGATCATGCGCAAATTGACTAACACTCACTACATAAGTGATGTCAGAACGAGTAATTGAGAGAAATATTAATCTCCCCATTAGTCTCTAGTATCTCTCTTTCTCTATTACCTCACCAACACCACTATTCATCTCTCTTTCTCTATTACCTCACCAACACCACTATTCAATCGATAGTTGACTTCAATAGAAGAATCTGTACGTCTGCATCCCAACATCTTTGTCTCTTCAAGAAGGTTAAAAACATACTTCCTCTAGGACATAAAGATACCTCTGTCTGATCTGGTAACCCCAATTCCAAAGAAATATCTTAGTGGACCCAACAAGGTTCAAAGTATCGGCCGAGTCGTATCCGCCTCGGTTATCACCAATCCGATTCCGTTACACGGTACGCAAATAACACGAGACTCAAGCAAATCGGCCTTAACTCGATGACGACTCGGAGATATCGGTTGAAATCGGAGTTGAATCGTTTGAATCGGACCGAATCATCAATAGATCAATGTAAAAAACCCAGAAAAAAAGAGAAAGGGAAAAGAAAAAACCAATTCCACATGTAGATTCATAGACCCAAAGATGTAGAAATCAAAGTAACATAAATCAACAAACCCTAAAACAGAAATTGAAATGATTCAAAGAAAAATCTGTAGATCTTGTCCAGTTAGTGAGTTACATACAGCGGCTATACTATACAACCCCTTCTTCTCCATTCGAGCGTCAGAGCAGCGACGCCGATGACAGTTGATTCTTCTCCATTCGAGCATCAGAGCAGCGACACCGACGACAGCTCCTTCTCCATTCGAGTGTCGGAGCAGTAGCCTTCTTTTTTTCTTCGCATAGGCAACACCGATGGTAAGTATATAAGGTGCTCTCTCTCTCTCTCTCTCTTCGCCGCTTGGAGCTTATGTGCATTGGTTGGTCTAAGTCTTTCACGGTCTCACCTGAGTCAATTATTATTATACTAAATATTATTATATTAGACAAATAAGGGTTTCAATTTTTAATAAAACTATACTCTTATTAATTATATGCATATAAAAACAAATTTTACAATTAAAAACATAATGCATACGTAATTTATAAGTATGATAAAATTTCCCAAAAAAATTTATATATTTTGAAACATAAATTAACATAATGTTTCAAAATGTATTTTTCAATTTTTTGATTATGTATAATTAAGTATTAAATTTATATTAGATCTATATTTATTCTTATGATGAAAATAATTTACCCGATTTGTATAGTTAACTTAGAGACATTGATTATGATTTGAATCTTATCTATATAGGATATATGATGCATGAATTATGTTATATATATTTTTTATAATTTTATTAGAATTTTTTGGGCCTTCTATCAAGCATTTTACTCGTATTGGCGGCCGATACAGTACCGCGACGCCGCGACCGATGTGTATCAGTACCCTCCGAGTTGAGAGTCGATACCGCAACCTTATACCATGGGACCCAAGCCTTTGATTTTGAACTCCTTGATCAACTGAGCTTTCAACTTGGTGACTTCATGCTATCATTTGTAGTCTTGCCATCAACCTGGCAAACTAGGTATGATCTCTTTGACTCTGTTTGTATCCAAATTTCATCATAACTTTAAGAAACTTATCAAACCAAGCTCTAGGGGATTGCTTCAACCCATAAAGAGATTTATTTAGCTTATACACTTTTCCTCCGGTCATTGGAGATGAAAAAGCTGAAAAAATCTCTATGTACACTTCCTCCTCCAAAACTCTATGAAGAAAAGCATTCTTCACATCCAACTACTATAAACTCCACCTCAAATTTGCCGCACAAGAGATAAGAGTACATATGAAATTCATCTTTATCACAGGAGCAAAAGTCTCCAGATTATCAATACCATATGTCTGAGTAAATCTCTTAGCAACTAGCCTAGCTATGTACCTCTCAACAGTCCCATCAACTTATTGTTTGACGGTAAAAATCCATCTACACCTTATTGCCAATAATCCAGGAGAAATAAGAACCAATTCTCATGTGTCATTTTTCTTCAAGGTTTTCATTTTCTCTACCATAGCTTCTCTCCACTTAGAATCAATAAGAGTTTGTTTCTAACCTTGAGGAATAGACATAGAAGACAAGGAGCAATCAAAAGCACAATAGGATAGAGACAGGGAATCATAAGAGACAAAATTAGAGATAGGATGTTAGTACAAACTCGAACACCCTTTCTGACAACAATAAAAGGATTAGAGTCATCACCTGGATTATCAATAGCAGGAGTAACAGGTTGAAATTCATTATATACTAAATTAGTGAAGGATGGAACTGGAATTGAGGAATCAGACTGATACGGTGGCACATGGGTAATCTGTACTTTTTGACACCAAGAATAAGTCTTCAGATTATCCCCGTGAGGTGAACACCATGTGGATCACTCCCATCACCTTTTTTCTCCTTAAATTGTTGTTTCCCAGACTAACATTTCACTGAACATGCAATTGAAGATAAGGCTCCAGACAACATCACTTCCCTATAATGGTATTCTCCTCCTGAAGAAATGCCCGAGTAGTGGAGACGGAGGACTCAAATTCACGAAAGGTATGCTAACATACATTCTTTGTGACTGAGAATGATAACATTTATATTCCTTTTGGGCGGTAGAGTAACCAAAAAAAATACATCATAGAGCCCTGGGGTCAAGTTTTCTTCTAGAGGATCTGTAATCGTGTACAAAACAAACACACCCAAAATCTTTAGGGAAAAGGGAAAAGGGAAAAAATAGAAAGAATGAAAAAAAAACTCAAAAAGACACTCGAAATGAGACTTAAATTGAAGGACACTTAAGGGTAGACGATTAATAAGACAAAAAACACTAATAACTGCATCCCCAAAAAGATTGAAGAGCATTCATAGTAAACATCAATAAGCGAGCAACTTCAAGAACATGACAATTTTTTCGCTCAACTACACCATTTTGCTCAGGGATACTCACACAAGTGATTTGATACAGAATAAATGCCATATTCATTGAGATAAGAACGAAATTCCCCATCAATATACTCGGTTCCATTATCGCTTTGAAGAATTTTAACTTTGGCATCAAATTGAGTACTCATCATTTTATGGAAAGATCTAAAGTATGAAAAAACTTCATCTGTATTGTATAGTAGGTAAACTCAAGTAAGACGAAAATAACAATCAATAAAGGTAACAAATTAACGATAATAAGAAGTAAAAATAACACGAGAAGGACCCCACACATCTAAATGAATAATAATAAAAAGTGTTCTACTTCTAGGATTAATACTAGGATAAGATGAACGTTTATACTTAAAAAATTCATAAGCATCAAAAACAAAAGATTTCTTCTACAATGCTTCACTAGATTAGGAAAAAAATGCATTAAAACACCAAATGCGGGCTGTCCCAAACGTCTAGGCCACTGATATAAGAGCTGAACGGCTAAAACACCATCTGCATGGAGAGCTTGACAGATAGACCGAGAAAAAGTGTCACCGTCCAAGAGGTATAGACCACCATATGCTCTATCACTACCAATTGTTTTCCCTAATTCCAGTTCCCGAAAGATACAATAAGCAAAGAAAAAAGTCACTGAACAATTTAAAGATTTGGTAATACTACTAACATACAATAAATTAGGGGAGAAATAAGAAACATAAAGAACATTGAACCTTTCCTAGTAATAGAGAATAAAGATCTATTTGTCAACTTAACTTTATCCCTACCAGAACAAGCAGAATATGAAGAGAAAATACTAAAAGAACCTGTCATATGATCCGTGACTCCAAAATCTATTATCCAAGGAATATACAAGGATGACACAGTAAATACACTAACATATATACCAGTATGAGCAAATTTGGAAAAAGAGGTAGGATTAGAAGTTGTAGTCAAGAAAACATCAAGTCGAACAATCAGGCGTCTAAGAGCCAGCATCTCATCTTGAGTGAAATTATTAGAGGTTACACTCCCTTCCGACATGTCCACACAATAAGTTCACACAAACACAGCGACAAGTCACAAAACCAGCAAACAAATACAACCCAAGTACCTCATGGATTGAGAAAAAAAACAACAAAAAAATCCCGAAGCAAATAAGGGTCGAATAACCCTAGTACAGTGGCCTATCGTGAAGAACAAGTCGATGATCTAAGTAAAAGGTACTGCCGACAGTGAGATCAAGCTAAACAATCTCACAAATCCACTACAAAGCACAACAAAGGCCCCTGAGCATCATAAATCTCCCCAAGTCGAGCCTCATTAGGTAGATCTGAACAAGAAACGAGCCTAGGAGAACTCCAAAAGTCAGATCTAAAGTGTCAAAGGTCGCGGTACTATAGCTGAGGGCCAAAACACGTCAAAATTCTCTCAAAAAACTTATCAATCTTCAACAAAAACACATGGGTAATTTAAATCCATCTAAATCGAGCCTTACTAGTCAAGATCGGACCAAAAAAAAATTGCAAAGTCCTAAATCGCAAAGCCACCATAGTGATAAATAGTATTTATACAGTAATTTTCTGCAAAAAATTCATCATCTAGTTTTGGTTTTCCATGATTGATAGGTATCTGATCAAGCCTTTCAACGATTTTTTCATCTTAATTGAATCACCATGCAACACAGGAGTATCAGTTAATTAACAAAAAATATTTCACTGCAAACACGAACTAGTGATTTATACCTTACTGGTAAAGGCAAAGAAGTGTACTAGTCTACTTGATCGAAATCATATCAACAAACCTATATGGGAAGTAGAAAGTTTTAGTGAAGCTGCTTAGCAACCCACCATCATTGGCACCATCATTGGCACCCCTAGATACTTGTGGAATTGCCATGTGCAAAATAAGTTGAAAACCTAGAAGGATTTAGGAGAGGGGAGATGATAGAATATTCTAGGGAATCTCCCTTAAAAATGTCACACGTCAATATTCTCTAGAATAATCCTACGATGCCTATAAATAGGGTATTTGGAGATTGGATTAAGAATACTAGGGCACAAGTAGTCTTCCACTTTTAAGAAAGAATAGAGAGTAAAAGAGAGAAGAAGGAAAGAAGAGCACTTCATCAAAGGAAATTGTGAGAAAAAGAGAAAAAGTATCAATAAAATCTCACTCTACTTCGGGTAACAAGAAACACTCAAGAAGCATATCATTCTCTTTGGACTTGAGGTGAGTGGTTTGGTATGCTACGTATTTTTAAAAATTTCTCGTATTCTNAAGTAGTCTTCCACTTTTAAGAAAGAATAGAGAGTAAAAGAGAGAAGAAGGAAAGAAGAGCACTTCATCAAAGGAAATTGTGAGAAAAAGAGAAAAAGTATCAATAAAATCTCACTCTACTTCGGGTAACAAGAAACACTCAAGAAGTATATCATTCTCTTTGGACTTGAGGTGAGTGGTTTGGTATGCTACGTATTTTTAAAAATTTCTCGTATTCCTAAATATTTTAAAAATAATATATCATGCTAGTTCCTTACTACCTTAACAAAATGTTTTACTAAATGTCTAAATACTTGTGGCACACGATTCTCCTTATTTTGATGAATTCTTTTGTGAAGTATTGTGACTCAATCACTTGTTTATATGGTGAGACTTACTAATGGTGAATGGGACCAAAATTAAAAGTCCAAGAAAATTATTCCTCTGTGTGCGGGTGACTCTGACCACTAAGGAACAGACCTGGGGGAGGCTGAAATGACCCTAGTGCTCAGCGG